GAGAAACAAGGCTCCAGGAATTGGTGGAATACCCATTGAGATGTTTTAACAAATGGATGCAGTCCTGGAGGTGCTCACTCCTTTATGCCAAGAAATTTGGAAGACAGCTACTTGGCCAACCAACTGGAAGAGATTGATATTTGTGCCCATTCTAAAGAAAGGTGATCCAACAGAATGTGAAAAATATTGAACAATATCATTAATATACACAAATAAAATTTTGCTGAAGATAATTAAAAAGTTGTTGCAGCAGTACTTTGACAGGGAACTTAGAAATTCAAGCCAGATTTAGAAGAGAGCATAGAAAGAGGGATATCTTGCTGATGTCCAATGGATCCTGGCTAGAAGTCAAGAATACCAGAAAGATGTCTACCTGCGTTTTATTTACTATGAAAGGCATTGCACTATGTGGATCATAGAAAATTATGGATAACATTGTGAAGAATGGGAATTCCAGAACACTTAATTGTGCTCATGAGGGACCTGTACATAGACCAAGAGGCTGTCATTCGAACAGAACAAGGGGATACTGTGTGGTTTTAAAATCAAGAAAGGTGTACATCAGCTTCGTATCCTCTAACCATACTTATTCAATTTGTATACTGAGCAGGCTGGATTGTATGAAGAAGAACACAGCATCAGGATTGGAGGAACACTCATTAACAAACTACGATATGCAGATGACACAATCTTGCTTGCTGAAAGTGTAGAAGACTTGAAGCACTTCCTGATGAAGATCAAAGACTACATGCAGCGTTCAGTTTCAATTACATTTCAACATAAAGGAAACAAAATTCTTCACAACTGGACCAATACGCAACATTATGACAAATAGAGAAAAAATTGAAGTTGTCAAGGACTTCATTTTACTTGGATCCATCCATAGTCAATGCCCACAGAAGGAACAGTCAAGAAATCAATTGCATTGTATTGGGCAAATCAGCTGCAAAAGACCCATTTGAATTGTTAAAGAGCAAAGATGTCACTTTGAAGACTAAGGTACACCTGACCCAAACCATGACATTTTCAATATCCTCATAAGCATGTGAGAGCTGGACAATGAATAAGGAAGACTGCAGAAGAATTGATGCATTTGAATTGTGGTATTGGTGAAGAACCTTGTGCGTACCATGGCCTGCAAGAAGAATGATCATATCTCTCTTGGAAGAAGTACAGCTGGACTCCTCCTTACAAGTAAGAATGGCCAGACTTCATCTTTCTGCTTTGGTCGTGTTGTCAGAAGGGACCAGTCCTGGAGAAGGATATCATGAAAGGTGAAATAGAGGGTCAGAGAGAAAGGGGAAGACCCTCAATGAGATGGACTGACACAGTGGCTGCAACAGTGGGCTCAAGCGTGGCCGCAGTTGTGAGGACGGCACAGGACATACTGTCACTATGAGTTGAAACCTACTCAATTGCACCTAACAACAACCATATCACTTTATTGACTCCTTAGTGATAAGATTCCAAATGTATCCTATATTAAGTGATTATACATACTTGAATATGTGTCTGGACTTCTTTGATTTGTTGTTGGACCTGGTATTATAATTTTTTAATGCATTTTTGAAATATAATTTATATACAGTGAAATATACAAAACTAAAATGACATTGGTCAATGCATTTTTTGTTTGTTTGTTTTCAATGTTCCCTCCCCTACCCTCCCACCGCTGGCAACCAACAAAGAAAGTTTTCCACCATATATAAACCTTTCCTTGCTCCTCCACAACAATGAACTAATGCTATATTTGTCCTTCTGTGACTGACTTATGTCACTCAGGATGATGTCCTCCAAGTTCATCCATGTTATGTGGTGTTCTGCAGACTCTACATTATTCATTAGTGCTGCATAGCATTCCATTATGTGTATGTATCATAGTTTGGTCATCCACTCTTCCATTGATGGGCATGTAGGTTGTTTCCATTTTTTTTTTTGCTATTGTAAATAGTGCTGTGATGAACATAGTTGTGCATATATCTGTTCCTGTCCTGGCTCTCACCACTCTAGGATATATACCCAATTCCAGCTTTCTAAGGAATCATCATACTGCTTTCCACAGTGGCTGTATCACTTCATAGTCCCACCAGCAGTGTATGAGAGTCCCAATCTTTCCACATCCCTGCCAGTATTTGTTATTTTCTGTCTTGTTGAACCTTGCTGTCAGTGCTGGGATGAGATGGTATTGCATTGTTTTTTTGATTTGCATCTCTCTGATGGCCAATGATCGTGAACATTTTTTCATGTATTAGCTAGCCACCTGAATATCTTCCCTTCTTGGTGAAGCGTCTATTCATGTCTTATGTCCATTTTTCAATTGGATTGTTAATTCTTTTGCGGTTGAGGCATTGGAGTTTTCTATAAATCTTAGAGATAAGTTCCTTGCCAGATATGTAATTATCAACAAGTATGAATTTGTTGCTATCATTTTTTTTTATGTGCTTTTTCATGGTGTTGATTTCTTTGTTCCATATAATTTTCTGTGCTGAGCTAGTTTTGTTTATGAATCATGATATCACTTCCTTCATTGCTAGTGTTTTAGTATTATATAAATATTTGTGCTGGTTCTCTTTTTTTATTTTGATGTGAAGGTTTATCATTTTTCTTTGAGGTTACCCTGTGATTTATAGCTTTTTTCCTAAGTTTAGAACAGTCCATTCTATCTTGTAGTTGTCTTGACTTCCCTACCATTTAGAAGTTCTGTAACTACAGTTTTTTCCCTCTTTTTGGTTTGTAGTTGTCCTCATTTGTCAGTGGGTGTTTCTGGTTTCCTGTTTACAATCTTGTTGGTTCATTTACCTTTGGTACTTCCATAGCTGGGCTTGTTTCTGGGTTATGTGATCATGTGTGTTAATAGTCAGTTATTGTTTGCTGTTGTTGCTTCTCTGTTCAAAGGACTCCCTTTAGCATCTCTTGTAAGGTTGGTCTGGTTTTAACAAATTCCCTTAATTTCTGCTTATCTAGAAATGTCCAATTCTTGGTTGGAAATTTTTCTCTTTCAGGGTTTTATATATACCATCCCATTGTCTTCTTGCTTGCATGGTTTCTGCTGAGAAATCTGGGCTTAGTCTTATTTGTTGCCCCTTGCAGGTAACTTTTCATTTTTCCCATGCTGCTTTCAGGATTCTATGTTTGTCTTTGGTTTTGGTTGAGTTTGATGATGATATATCTTGGTGATTTTCTTTTGGGGTCTATCATGTTTCGGGTTCATTGGACTTCTTGAATGGATATTTTCTCATCTTTCATCATACCAGGAAAATTCACTTCCAACAGATCATCAACAATTTTCTGTATGGTTTTATTTGTCTCTTCCTGTTCTGGAATTCTGATTACATGTAGATTATTCCTTTTGATAGTATCCCACATGAACCTTTGGCTTTCTTCATTTTGTTTTGATCTTTTTTTCTGAATGATCACCTTCTAAACAAGTATTGAGATATTTGTGTTCAAGCTCACTAATTCTGTCTTCCATTGATTTAATTCTACTCCTTTGTCCATTCAATATCTTACCTATTTCTGAAAATTTAGCATTAATCTTCTGGATTTCTATGTGTAGATTTTGAATCATTTCTAATTTTTCATTTATTTTGTCCTTGTATTGTCTTTTGAAATTGTTGTAGGGTTTTCTCTGTGTTTTCCTCAATTTTGTCAGTGTTTTCCTTGATCTGTCTCTCAATTTGTTGAAGGTACCTTAATATGATTCTTTTGGATTCCTTATCAGGGAGTTCCAATGCTGCGTCTTCCCCAGGGATGTGTTTTGGGTCTGTATCCTGGTCCCTTGTTTCTCTGCTTTATCTTGCTTCTTTGTGTGGACTGTGATGCTCTGTTGTCTCCAAGGCTTTGTGACATTTTTGTGTTTATATTTAATTGGTAATTGTATGTTGGAGTGACTTGCCCACGATTTTCATTTTCTTTGCTTTATTTGTATGTTATCTGTACAGGCAGGGTACTGTGTTGTGATCCTTTATTCAGTAGTTGGCACCACTTATACACTCACCACCTGTCTCCTTTTCCATTGTCAGCCTCCCACATGTCCCTGCCATCCTTGGCAAACAGAGCGTATTCTTAGGTCCCTGGAATCTGAATGAGAATGCTGTCACTTTAAAATCCAAAATGGGCACCACTTGTAAAGATTTTAAATGGCTGTGCCCTCAGTCACTTTAAATATCCAAAATGGCCACCCCTATAAACATTCAAAATGGCTGCACCCTCGGTCAGTTTAAATATCCCAAATGGCTGTCCTTGTAAACAATCAAAATGGCTGTGCCCTTTGGACAGCAGAAAGTCCACAGTTCAGGTTGTCTCCCTGCTTGCTGTTTCCCTTCCTAGTCATAGGCCATCAGCACAGTCATCCCTGGAGCCCTTGGCAACCAGAGCTGATCTTTAGGTCAATTCTCAGGTCCCAACACTACTTGGAAATATTCAGGCTCTTGGTCCCATCAGAGTAGCTAACAGTCCACTGCTCTGACTGTCTCTGTACTCACTGTTTTTGTTCAGGTTTTTCCACTAGTTGGTGTCTAATTCACTTCTGTATACTTCCTTTCAAAGCTCAGGACTCCAGGATTATCTTCTGTATCTCTGTCAATGGGTTTTTTTCTTTTCTTTGTTAAACAGGGTCTGTGTCACTTCTCTGCCTATTCCGCCATCTTATGAGAAGTCCTATTACCATTTTTATTATTGTAATGTTTTAATAAAGAAAATATACTTCATCATTCACCAGCCATCTCCCCTTTCATGCTATGATCCTATTCTTTCTAAATAATCTTGACTATTATTAATTTTTAGGTAAATTTGGAATGATTTCCAGAAAATATGAGATTGTCTTATGGATTCCTTATATATATGAATTATTTTGAGGAAATTGACATAGTTAGTGCCAAATTATGAATGACATCCATCTGTCTATTATACATTTTGACTAGTTTTGAAGGTGTAAAGGAATACTCTTGATCTCCTCATTTTGCTTTGCCTTCGATCAACAGTCAACTCTTGAGAACTCCTTAAAACTGGGTTACTTTCATGGAAGTTTCAGCCTGTTCTGCTTTTCTTGAGTCTCTTCTGTTGGGAAAAAGGAACACAAACCAAATAATTGTATATGTTGTACAGTACTTGTACAAGTTGATCTTTTGCCCACACACTTTGAATGACTCAGGAATTAACCACCTAAGAATTAATGTGAAAGATAGAAGAGCTAATTAACACTATTATTTGACAATCTTGTGCTGGAAAAGGCTCTGCTACCGGGTTAGTCCTGGGTAGTCCTGGGTAGGCAGCTTTGAATGTTATAACTTTCACCATTGTCTCTTTAGACTTGCCTGTGGCCAATGACATCTTCAGAAAGTCAAAGAGATGGTTGAAAATGTTAAGGGCATTTTCTCATTTTTTTCCCCCTTTAAAAATCTCTTTTCTTATTTTCTTAGTTTTTCTCTCTTCAACATTTCCACCTTCTGTGATAGCAAGATTGACTAAATTTCACAGGCATCTTAAATGATCTATTTCCTTCAAATACATTGTTATTTTTACAAGGAGGATCTTGTTCTGTCTGCTATGGTCTCCAAATTATGCCTTGACTGAAGCAGCAATCAAGTTTGCATTCATGAGGCAATCTCTTTATTTTTCCCACAATATACCAGGCCCTCATTGGACTAATGGGTGAGTAAGCCAGAGGGAGAGAATAATACAGTTGGATGGATCTTAGCAGATTCGTGAAAAAACACAAAGGGTGTTTCTCCCATGATGGCAGAGAGTATGTTCCATGCACAACAAAGCTAATTCTGTCCTCTTCTAAACCTACTGGTGTAGATTGGACAGAGCTCTTCAGTGCTATCTACCACCAGCTGCATCAGAATAGAACTGTGCTTGGCTGAGTTTTCAATGGCTGACTTTTCAGAAGTAGATAGATAGCCAAGTCTTTCTTCCGAGGTGCCTCTGGATGAACTTGAACCTCTAACCTTTCAGTTAGCTGCTGAGTTGGTGGATTGTTTTCACCACCTGGAGATTCTTCTGTGCTATCTAAACAAAAACAAACAAACAAAAACCTCAAACCTGCTGCTGTCAAGTCGATTTTGACTCAGAGCCTGTGGTATCTAGAGAGCTTCAAAAGGAGTCTGACATCATTGTATCTAAGGGTTAGGCTACTTCTGAACTAACGGACAAGGACACAAATGGAAATTACCTAGGTCTATGCCTGCCTGAAGGACCAAACTGAGAAGTAAATCAGTTGTCATTGAGTTGATTCCAGCCCATGGTGACCCCATGTGTGTACATTAGAAGTTCCCTGACCTTCCAGAAGCACAGAGCTAGACTTTTCTTCTGAGATGCCTCTGAGTGGGTTCAAAAGAGGTGGCTTCAAACTGGCCATCTTTTGGTTAGTAGTTGGGTGCTTAACTGATTGTGCTGCCCAGGGGACTCCTGTAGAGGGCCCCAAATGGCCTTCTGCCTTCCCCATCGTAACCCTATAGCACACAGCACCCTCAAGAGGCAGCTGGAGGGTTTACTCACTCGTTTTCCACATCCTGGAAGATGTCAGGGAGAGGCTGATTCCTGGTTTCAGGAAGGAGAAGGACAACAAGGCCTGCCAGGATGGGCAAGACTCCATAGATGATCCAGGGCAGGGGGGCAGAATACACTACTAGGATCATCAAGAGTGGAGCTATGACTGCCCCACACCTACTGGCCATTGAATTGATTCCTCCAGCTGTTGCCCTTAGAGTACAAATGACAATAACAACAAAAAGTCTTGTTAAAGTCTATACATGTAAGTTCTCATCAAATACACTCATTTTCATTTTATTAAAGGTGGACAACACAATTGTTAAATACATGGGCTCAGACAGAAAGCCTTCAGTTATGGATTTACCTTTAGCATTATCATGTTTGTAACTGCTTCTTCATTATTAACATAGAGCTATCAATAGCACTATCTTGTAGACTGGTTCTTAAGATCAAATGAGATGATGCATTAAAGGACTTGGCATAGTATCAAGCACCAAGTCAGCTTTAATAATTATTGGCTATAAGTAACTGTCATCATTTCTATTACAATTGATTCCTTCTGACACCTAAACAATTTCAGTATTACTCCCAATGTCAATTAGGAAAGTCCTGTTTTGGACCTAGAGAGATGATCTATTAGCTCTGTACCTGCATACAGTGGGGATGAGTTCCTGGTGGTGGATGGAAGAACTAGTGCTGACGACACCAAAAGCTCCAGCTCCCAACACTGCTAAAGCTACACGCAGTGTCCGCATTTCTGGAGAAAGGAAGTCCAGTGAGGCTTAGGAAAATCAGGCTGAAGAATCCATCAACACCCAAATAAATGGGAAAAAACTCCATTGGGGGTGAAATAGATGGTAGATAAAAGGCATCCAGAGACTACAGAATGATTGATAAACTGAGGATCAGAAGCTTAAGAACATATTATGGCTTAAACTTTGAATGAAAGATCTAAATTACTAGCTTCAACTCTCTCCCAACATTTGAGTATTGCCAGTGAAAGAGAGCTCTGGTGGCATAGTGCCTAAGGCATTTGATTGCTAACCAGAAGGCTGGAGGTTCAAACCAGCTACTCCTCAGAAGGAAGATTGGGCAATCTACTTCCTTAGAGATACCGCCTCAGAAACCCAAGGAGGGCTCCCTATGAGTTGAATTGAGTTGATGGCAGTGAGTTTGGGTTTTTTATTTTGGTTTAGTGAAAGAGAGGGGGAAAGAAGAGTCAAGTAAATATATATAAATTCACTCTGATATTCTGATATTTTCTGGGCACTTTTATGAATCCCTGAGTGGCAAAAAAAGTGCAAATATTTGACTACTAATAAAATGTTGATGGTTCACACCCACCCAGAGGCACTTTGGAAGAAAGGTCTGACAATCTGCTTTGGAAAGGTTGTTGTTTTGTTGTTGTTATGTGCTGTCGAGTTGGACATGACTCATAGTGACCCCTCATTGGGAAAGGTAACCGCCTTAAAAACCCAATGGAGTGCACTTCTACTTCTCACACATGGTGTCACTATGAGTTGGAAGCAATGTAATGGAAGCTGTTTTTGTTTTGTGCACTTTTATGGAACATGGGCCTCCATGTAGATAATAACTGAGTAGTTTAAGACTTACCACTTCTCTGAAGAGTTTAAATTTAAGAGTACAGAGATAATTTTTGAATTGGGGCTTGGAGCTCTGGTAGCATAGTGCCTAAAGCAGTTGACTGCTAACCAAAAGGCTGGCAGTTCAAACCCACCAGCCACTCCTCAGAAGGAAGATGGGGCAATCTACTTCCGTAGTTATACCACCTCGGAAACCCAAGGAGGGGTCACTATGGGTCAGGTCGACTTGACAGCACATAACAACAGCAACAATTACTTCAGACAGTAATAAAAGGACTGGATTTATCTGGGATGATGATGTGAGAAGAAGCAAGCCCTAGAATAATAATTTAGGATTTAAAAAATCTAGCGTAAGGACCCACCACTTGTCTGTTAATGTGTTGTACTGTGGTGTCTTGTGTGTTGCTTTGAGGCTGGAGACTATGCCACTGGTTTTCAAATACTAGCAGGGTCAGATATAGTGGACAGGTTTCAATGGAGCTTCCAGACTGAGACAGACTGGGAAGAATGGGACCATGCACTTCTGAAAGAATTGGCTACTGAAAATCTTATGATTAGGTGAAACATTTATGATTCATATTATTATTATTATTATATTACTGGGAAATCATACGAATAGCACTGAAACATTGTCTGATATAGTGTTAGAAGATGAGCCCCTCAAGTTGGAAGGCCCTTAAAATACAACTAGAGAAGAACTCCCTTCTCAAAGGAGGGGCAACCTTAATGATGTGGATGGAGTAAGCTTCTGAGACTTCATTTGCTGATGGGACATAACTCAAAATGAGAACATTGTTTTCCTAGATTCATACTTCATACATTCCATGTTCCAATTATTAATTAATGTTATCTCAATGGGTATTCCGTCAATTCCTGGAAATCTAGGAAAATTGGAAGTTGTAAAAAATGAAATGGAGTGTGTAAAGATCAATATCCTAAGCATTAGTGAGCTGAAATGGACTGGTATGGGCCATTTTGAATCAGACAATCATATGGTCTACTATACCTGGAATGATAAATTGAAAAAGAGTAGTGTCACATTCGTTGTCAAAAAGAACATTTCAAGATAAAACCAATGCTGTCAGTGATAGGACAGTATCCATAGGCCTACAAGGAAGACCAGTTAATACTATTATTATTCAAATTTATGCACCAACCACTAAAGCCAAAGATGAAGAAATTGAAGATTTTTACCAACTTCTGCAGTCTGAAGTTGACCAAACATATAATCAAGATGTGCTGATAATTACTGGTGATTGGAATGAGAAAGTTAGAAACAAAGAATCATCAGAGGTTGGAAAATGGCTTTGTGATAGAAATGACACCAGAGACCACATGATAGAATATTGCAAGACCAATGACTTATTTACTGCAAATACCCTTTTCCAATAACATAAATGGTGACTATACATGTGGACCTTGCCAGATGGAATACACAGGAATCAAATTGACTACATCTGTGGAAAGAGATGATAGAGAAGCTCAATATCATCAGTCAGAACAAGGACAGGAGCTAACTGTGGAACAGACCATCAATTGCTCATATGCCAGTTTAAGCTGAAACTGAGGAAAATTAAACCAAGTCCATGAGAGCCAAAATACGAGCTTGATTATATCCCACCTGAATCTAGAGACCATCTGTAGAATAGAATCTGATGCACTGAACACCAATGACTGAAGATGAGATGAGTTATGGGATGACATCAAGGACAGTATACATGAAGAAAGCAAAAGGTCATTAAAAAGAAAAAGAAGAAAAGAAAAGAAATGGATGTCAGAAGAGGTTCTGAAACTTGCTCTTGAATGGAC